ACTGATAAATATTTTTCTCAATTCTTTCTTGGCAATAGTTCTGCCAGATTGTTCAAGGTCTTCTTTCTATCACCAGAATCTATCTTACAAATTTATAAGTCTGCCATTCATCCATGCTTTGAATATTGCTGCAACATATGGTCAGTACTCCTGCTATATATTTTAGAGATTCTTGATAAAATCCAAAGAAAAATCAGCAATGTTATTTGCCCAGATCTGCTATCCCAGTGTCAGCCACTTTCCCACCACAACATGTAGCTTCTCTGTGCCTTTTCTATAAATACATTTATGGTAATTGGCAACAAGGTCTCATCTTTTTATACTTGAATTGGCTAGATGTAACCATAAGTTTGTGTAAGGGTGTTCATGTCAGGAGGTCACCAGTGTGGTCAGTTGGTAGGATTTTTATCTTATTGGAACTTTGGGAATAAAACAAACTGACTCAAGGGTTTAAGATAAATAATATATTTTTATGTATTTTCTTTTAGTGATGTGTGAGTCCTTTGGTATTCGTTGTAGCAAAATGTTTGTTAATAAGGCCAATATTGATAGCAGTCTGGAGAAATTCCATTAGTGGTAGTGTGAAGTCAGACCATGATAAGGATAGTAGTAATCTTAGAAATAGATCAGTGTCAATCTACTGTGTTTTTCTCGACCCTAAGCAGTGGCGTAGCTAGAGTAAATGTCACCCAGGGCAGTCCGCTCAAATGTCCTCCCAATGACCCTGATTCACCCTATGCTGAATGGTTAGCTGTAGCTAAATTTTCATACATGCTCTACCTCTACTTTACTCTACTGACCAGTACATTACTGTTTACATGTATGATCCAAGACAAAATCCAATACCACAAAATAATCAGTTCAAATCAAAAGCTGAAAACATTGCTATATTTCCTACTCACAAATTTCCCGACAATTTATTAGAAAATTTCTGACAGGGGGACAAAACTGGGGGGGGGGGCATAAATTATTTCTGGGGGGAGTCATATGCCCGCCTGCGAAACCCTGTGTCTCCACCACTGTTTTCAGACTATTTTTGGCACTTAGCCTGGTTGAAAAATTTTGTTGGGGGTGACATTGTGTCACCCCTCCTGTGCTGGCACCCAGGGCGGTCCTCCCCTAGCCCCCCTTTAGCTACACCACTGACCCTAAGCATGGTAGAAATATCATTAAAAGATGACCTCTTAACTACTTCTTCATGTGTCATGCATGGCTGGTTTCTCTAGCTATGCCTCTTGACATCTCTCTAGTTGACAGGGGTCAGCTTATATACGTTTTGACCAGGCTCCAAAACTCTAGCACGAACATTGGTTTCAGCTAACATCAAAAGTCTCTTCGTGTCAATTTTTTTAATTGAGCAAAATTATTTTATTTTCCGGCGTTTCTTTCTTTTTCATTTTTTTAATAAAAGAATTTATGTGTGGCACCACCCTGATTTTGGGCCAGGTTCTGCTTTCTTTTTTTTCTTTTGCTTTTTATTTGAAGGTTGCCTTCTCATTAGTTGAGAGAAGTATAGAAAAAGAAGTTTAGAGAGAGAGAGAGAGAGAGAGAGAGAGAGAGAAAGAAAGAAAGAAAGAGATAAGGTTTTTTCAAGGAAAGAGCAAATGCTTTAATTTAATTTGAATTATTTTTTTATTTTTGTTTATCTATTTTATTCTTATATTTTATTTCACTTTTTTTATTGGGATTCATTTCAAGTTCTTTCCTAACAGTTTCTTTTCTCACACTTCTTGCTTGTGGAACTCTCTTCCAGCTGCTTTCCAGCCAACTTTGACCTTTAAAAATTTAAATACAATGTCAATCATTATTTACTCTCTACTTTTATTGCTCTCACTCCTTAATAATGTTTTCTTTTTCTTATTCATTTACATTCAGTAAGCCACTATATCTTAGTGGCTTTATTACCTTACTTGGAGTGAATTGAAAAAAAAAATGACCCCACCTAAGAAACCCAATAAATAAAAAAAATATATATTATCCTACCTGCTAATTCTATCACATCTACAATCAAAAAAAATCTAGCTAAACTCAACATAAAAGTTGTTACTATTATTTCCAAAATAATAAATGACTAAGTCAATACTAAATAAAAGAATAAGCTAAAACCAAAAGGAGGAGTTTACTCTATCGCCTGTAATAATTGTCACAAAAAATACATAAGAGAAAGCTCAAAGAATCTAAACGAAAGATTATATGAACACAAAAGGGTCATTTTACAAAATAATACATCAAATGCATTGGTTGGTCATTGTAACAACTTTGATATAAAAATACTACTCTGATCAAAGGAGAAAATAATTGGCTATGACATAAATGAGTAGAGAGTGACTTAATCGCAAGGTCATCTACAGTAAATTTGTTCCTGAAATCTTACGACATTTCACCATTCCTGGCAGATCTTCTAATATCAGAGTGTGGAATACCTACTTACAAAAGAAAGGGGAAGAAGAAGAAAAAGACTGTAAATGAATACTTGATAAAAAATAAAAAAAATAATAAAAATAAATTTTAAATTCTAAAATTTCCAGCACCCCTCTGTTGTACATGTGTAGTTCTAAGACCATAACAAATTTAGTCTAAGTCCTGAAGGATCAGACACATCACAAGTAAACTATTTCCACTTTATCATACAATTCCCCCCACAACACACACACACATATATATATATATATATATATATATATATATGAAGAAATATAAAAGTGTGCTATATTAATGGGATAAAGTGCTCAATATCAGAGATAGAGCGTATGTAAATATAAATATAAAAGTGAACATTGAAGTCAACACTCACAGGTGACAGGCTGTTTTATGCTGGACACAATTGTCAGGCCTTTATATATATATTTATATATACATATATACATATATATATATATATATATATATATATATATATGTGTTTGTGTGTATGTGTGTGTGCATGTGTGTGTGCATGTGTGTATGCAAGAATAGATCATATCTATTTTTTCTTGAATTAATCATTTATAAAATCTGACAGCTTCATTACTTCCTGACTTATTCTACTTTTGTCTCATCCTTCAGCTCTGAATAAACAATTTTTTCTTTGAAAATTTACTAAAACATCAAGAGCAAAAATAAGTAACCTTCAATCCGCAATAAGACTAATCATTTATTTAATTCAGTTTAGCAACCAAGCTCAACAAAGCCACTGATTCGAATTGAACGGAAGAAAGTGGCACCCTTGTTGTCACCTTTTTGTAGTGAAGGAAAAGTTAAAGGCAAATTTATTCCAAAGAGAACCAGTTAACCATTAATTTGATGTCGCTGCACTGGCATTGATATTGATATATTGTCAATTGGCAAGTACCAAGCTTTGATGACGTCATGTTTTAATTTTCTTTTACCTGATGAATGTCATGCTACCCATGATGAGTGAAACAAATGGAGCAAAATTTTAAATATTGATAAGAAAAAGGCTGTGTAATTACAAGTAGTGCAGTGGTGATCCCATGGTAAGTTCTAGATGGTATTAAGGTGACTGCTCAGATATACATTGATCATTTTTTAGGCCCACATGGAGCTATGGCTCAAGAAAGTATCGGATTGGTAAATAGGTTTGTACCTATTTGTATATGTTAAATAGAAGAAAAATAAAGTGTATAGTAAAGAGATAACAGGAAGTTGATTATGGATGACATGTCGTAGAACAACAAAATACAAATGACTGATTTTAGTTCATTATATCAAAGAAAGAAAACGGCCCATTCTGACCAATTAAGGTAGAAATGATGAGGAAGACATCATGATGGAAGAAGACCTTGACATAGAAGAAAGGATGAGTTCTTCAGATCAGGACAATGCAATAGATGAGCCTATGGTTGATAGCAGGAGTGACTCGGACATGGAAAAATATGAAATTAAAAAAAAAACAGGAGATAAACCTCAAGGATGAAAAGAGGAAAGAGGTTGTAGAAGAAGTTCGAGAACAATGAAAGGCATTAACCTCTTTTGTTCAGGAAAGTGTATTGAATTGGTAAATAGCTTTGTACCTATTTGTCTATGTTAAATAGAAAAAAAATAAAGTGTAGAGTAAAGAAAGAGATAACAGGGAGTTGATTATGGATCACATGTCGTAGAACAACAAAATACAAATGACTGATTTTAGTTCAATTTAAGTAATTTATAAATGTATTATTTTAATCTAGTGTGTAAGGTTAATTTACATTAGTCAACATTTCTTCTGAAAATGCGTATATTTTTCCAACTCCACAACGATGATATAAAAAAGAACAGGATATAAACGTCAAGGTTTTTTTAATCAGTTCATGGCAATAATGTCACTAGGATGCCAAATGTTAGAGGGAGCAAAAGAGAATGGGGAAAAAAAACTTAATGAGGGGAAGTGAGAAAAAAGCACTGAAGGGAAAGGATTCAGGAAGACAGCATATGGCGATTGACATTGCATTTAAAGTTTTGATGATTGAAGGTGGCAGGAAAGCAAGTACAAGGAAAGAGATTATATTTTTATCTAACTGCATATCTTTAACCAATCACTTATGAGCACTTCCTTTCCAACATTTTTGTCTTCTATAACTCATTAAACCTTTTCAGTTCAGGGAGGTGTAGTGGATTGTAAATAGTATTGTACCTATTTGTATATGTTAAGTAGAAGAGATTAAATAGAAGAAATAGAAATAATATTTTTAAAAATTGTCTCTTTTATATTTTATATTCATTAAGAGAAACCTTTATTAAATCATTTACAGCCACTTTCAAAGATTTTTATCAAGCTGGAATAAGAATATTAATTAAAATTTCTCCCCAGTCTCTTGACTCATAGTTGGTCATTCTTGTTTCATGAGATAAGACGTGTGGGATCGTGGCTCTCCACAGCTTCCTTTCTTTTGTTGCTCTGAATAATTTATTAATCCTTACCATTCATTCATACAAAATTGTGCAGTAAGTAAAATTGTGTTTCCCTTCTCTTACCTTCAATATACTTCAATCTATCTAACATTCATATCTATCTAACTCAGTTACATACATATCTATCTATCTCAGTCACATTCATATCTATCTATCTATCTCAGTCAAATACATATCTATGTATCTATCTATCTCAGTCACATTAATATCTATCTATCTATCTCAGTCATATTCATATCTATCTATCTATCTATCTCAGTCATATTCATATCTATCTATCTATCTATCTATCTATCTATCTATCTATCTATTTATCTCAGTCATATTCATATCTATCTATCTCAGTCATATTCATATCTATCTATCTATCTATCTATCTCAGTCATATTCATATCTATCTATCTATCTATCTATCTCAGTCATATTCATATCTATCTATCTATCTATCTATCTATCTCATTCATATTCTATCTATCTATCTATCTATCGTCTCATCTATCATATTCTATCTCAGTATTCATATCTATCTATCTATCTCAGTCATATTCATATCTATCTATCTATCTCTATCATATTCATATTTATCTCAGTCATATCTATCTATCTATCTCAGTCATATTCATATCTATCTATCTATCTCATCTATTCATCTATCTATCTATCTCATATTTCATATCTATCTATCTATCTATCTCAGTCATATTCATATCTATCTATCTATCTATCTATCTATCTATCTATATCTCAGTCATATTCATATCTATCTATCTCAGTCATATTCATATCTATCTATCTATCTATCTATCTCAGTCATATTCATATCTATCTATCTATCTCAGTCATATTCATATCTATCTATCTATCTATCTATCTATCTATCTATCTCAGTCATATTCATATCTATCTATCTATCTCAGTCATATTCATATCTATCTATCTATCTATCTCAGTCATATTCATATCTATCTATCTATCTCAGTCATATTCATATCTATCTATCTATCTCAGTCATATTCATATCTATCTATCTATCTCAGTCATATTCATATCTATCTATCTATCTATCTATCTATCTATCTCAGTCATATTCATATCTATCTATCTATCTATCTATCTATCTATCTCAGTCATATTCATATCTATCTATCTATCTATCTATCTATCTATCTATCTATCTATCTATCTCAGTCATATTCATATCTATCTATCTATCTATCTATCTACCATCTACAGTGCTGTGCAAAAGTAAGTAAAAACCTAAGACAATATTTTAAAAAATTCTCTTTTTTCCATTCATTAAGAAAATTTTTTTTTATATCAATTACAACCACTTTCAAAAATTTTTATCAAGCTGGAGTAAAAATATTAATTAAAAATTAATAATTAAGATGTGCCAATGTAAGTGAACCCTTACATTTAATATTTGGTGACTGCTACTTTTGAGGTTATGTTATATACCGTACACATGAATACTAATTTGTATGTCCCAATCCTAATAAATACGTTGGACACTATTGTTAAGTGGGGGTAATATGCTGTCTAAGTAGTCCACCACTAGCAGTGGTTTACCTACTTCACGTCGCTGGCGAGTATTGTATTTTGTTGGAGGACGCATATTTTCTGACAAGATTTCTCAAATATATGATATATATATATATATATATATATATATATATATATATATGAGATATATATATGATATATATTTTTATATATCAAGAACAGTATTGAGGAAATTGTAAGACAAAATGGGAAAAAATTTATTTGTGACTCATTTCATCTGTTAGGATTTCATTGAATGAAAACGTAACGGATGAAACACATCACAAATAAATGTTTTCCATATATATATATATATATATATATATATATATATATATAATGAGTTTCATTAAAAGACAACTAGCAACATACTGTGATTAAGTTTTTATTTAATTTTTCTTATCTCCTGGACACAATGTATGTAAATATTGTCTGATATTCTGTCTGTCCAAGCACTTTCAGCTATATTTTTAGCCAGTATCAAGGATGATTTTTATTCTTATTTTTTTTGAATGTATGGATTTTTTTTTTATGCATCTATCTAGAGTGACAGGAATTTTTTTTTTTACATTCCAAACATGCATAAAAGAATTCTAAACAAATTCCAAAATTTTATTTTCAAAACATACATACATAAGAATTCAGTTAAAAATCAGAACCATCTTTGATAATGGATAAAAGAATAGTTGAAAGTGATTGGACAAACAGAGCATTCCAACAATTTTTGCATACTTTATTTCCAGAAAAGAAAGAATTATATAAACATAAGAGAAATTAAATAAAAAAAAATGTTTTCATCATTTAATGAAACACACACACATATATATATATATATATATATATATATATATATATATAATAATATATATATAATAAAAAAAAACACTAATATCCCATGGTCATAATTTATTCCATTGGAATCGTAAATATGATCCAATTCATCAGACCTACAAATTCAAAAGAAAACAGAAAAAAACTCCGGAAATAAAACAGAATTTAGAGAGAGTGGGAGAAGTATGAGGAGGAGGGAGATTAAACCTTAACAGAGAATTTTAGGAGAGGTGGGTGGAAGGGGTTTAAGTAAGAGAAAAATGAATGTTGTTGGATTTCATTTCATGGTGACATACACACACCTGTTGAAGATCAGAATAAGAGGGAGGGAAAGACAAGGTGGAGGAGAGAGATGGGGGCGAAGGAAAGTAAAATTGAACGACATTTACTGAAAGGGCTGCTGTGTAATTGAGAAAATTTGACAAATTTAATATGTATCTTTATGCATTAGACATCCGACAACATTCATATTTCTCTTACTTAAACCCCTTCCACTCTCCTAAAATTCTGTTTTTATTTCCGGAGTTGTTTTTTCTGTTTTCTTTTTGAATTTGTAGGTCTGATGAATTGGATTGTATTTACGATTCCAATGGCATAAATTATGACCATGGAATATTAGTGTTTAAGCCTTTTTATTATATCCTTACTCTGTCCTGGACATTGAGTTCTACCTGGATTCTATCCTCTTGGAATTTTTATTCAAAAAATATACATGTATGGGTATTTATATATTTTGCATATGTATGTGTATATTTACCACTAATATTATCTATCTATCTATCTATCTATCTATCTATATATATATATATATATATATATATATATACGCGTTTGTGTATGTGTGAGTGTGTAGATAGATAGATAGATAGATAGATAGATAGGTAGATAGATAGAGAGAGTGAGAGAGATCTATATATGTGTACTAACAAGGTGTATTTACATCTAAACTTGCACTTCTACCCAATATAGACCCCTTCTGTCATGAATTTTATGCGACTCTTGTGACCCTGGCAGAATCTGTGTTAGTGGTAGTTGCTCCAGTGCTCTTTGAGACTGGGGCAGAAGCGTCAGTAAATTTATTGAAGGAAAAAGAAAAAGAAATATTTTGCTGCTTCATTTGCCTATCTCCAGGGTTTCAATATTGATTATTCTCAAGTAACATCTTGGTTTGTCTCACTTTTTTCAGGTTTGCCATAATGTGTTTCTGGGGCTCATGTGGATTCTGTACTCACACCTCCTTACCTTGTTTTTATAGGAACATGAGGCATGGTGGATATGACCCCATACACCCAGACAAACTTAGCCAAAGGACTAGCCCTACTACTTAACCACCTCTCAGTTTCCTCTTCAGGTATGTCTGTACGCTAGATTGGTTAGACTGGAGAGACTAAAAAAAACCCTAAGAGAAAGAAAAATCTGATTTCAAACCTGCATAGATGGAACCTGTTACGATCAGATATGTGGACATCTAAAGCAAGGCCAACTCAGAGTGTACACTAAACCTTCTTCAGGGTACAAAATTTGAGGGTAGGGCCAGTCATCCCACTCTGTAGAATAATTTGATTACAGAAACCTCAAAAGGAACTAGGCAGGTAGATAGTCTTGATTTTTTTAAGCATTTCACACCAAACAAAGCAATAAAGCCACTAAGACACAAGGGGTTACTGTGTGTGAGAGAATATAAGAAAATAAAACATTATTAAGGAGAGAACAATAAAAAAACAGGAAATAAGAAGTAGATAATGATTGACATTGCATTTAAATTTTTGAAGTTCAAAATTGTCCTGGAAAGCAAGAAGCCAGAAAAGAATTCCACAGGTGAGAAATGTGAAAGAAGAAACTGTTAACATAGAACTTGTGGTTACAGCTAAACAGTTTAACTGTAAAATGATGAGACCTTGCTCTCAATCTAGCTCTGTGCACATCAGAACAATTACCATGAAAATATTGATAGGAAAGGCACAGAGAAGCTATGTTGCAGTAGTGGGAAAGTGACTGAAGCTGTGATGCCAGGTCAAGACCAGTAACATTGCAGATTCTCTTATTAAATTTATTTAAATTCAATCACCTGTACTGATTTGATTGATAACTGGTCTTTCCAACCATGGAATATTTTTCATTGAAAAATCTCCAGCAAAAAACTTCACAAACCATTTTTGACATCTGTCTATATTTCTGAGATGAGGTATTATGTACACTGTTTACATTATTCGGAGTATTATCCTCATCTTTGTCATCACATTTATTACAACGTTTCGACCGTTGTACGCTCTGGCCTTCTTCAGGTGGTTGGAAATCAGGCATGGCTTACCACATATGGAGAGAAAAGGGAGATCACCACCCTCTGTGGGATCAGGTTGACATCATAGACAAAGAACACCATTGGAAAATTTGTAAACTTAAGGAATCAGCACACATGCTAGGCCAAAAAAATCTCCTGAGATGACCAAGCATAGAAATGAATACAATATGGGAACCAGTAATAAGGAGTGCCAGAGAAAAGCGATAATAACAACAAAAAATTGCAATATGAGGTCTTGTTAAAAAATTGTAATGATAACAGCAAAAAATTGCAATATGACTGGTAAAAAATGTTACTGAAAATATTAGGTTTATAATACCCAGAAATTCATCCACAGATTTCCTCAAGGGCACATGGCACAATGGACAAAGGCATTAGTTAGATCCAGTGACAGGACCAAAAGAGTGTGAGTTCAATACCCGGTTAAGGCAGTGGAGAACTTAGAGAGGGGAATTAACAGGAGATAACTTATAACCATTAAAAACATGTCACGTGGAACTAGAACAGTCTACCCCAGTGAGCAAAATAAAGGGTTCAGTTCGACATTCCAACCACCTGAAGAAGGCCGGTGCATACAATAGCCGAAACGAAAAGATGGGGGCAATAGTCTGACTAATGTAAATAGTGTACATTTTTGACACGTTCAATCAGCCACATGACCTTCGTCATAAACTGAAAAAAATCATTTTGTATTCCAGTTATTTTATGTCCTCAGTATTAGAAGCAGTTATAAAAAGCTACACCAATTTTGCCAAAAGATTTTTAAATTGGACACTGTCACAATACTATCATAAATAGTTTTTAAAAGTTTTTTTCAAGCATATCACCTTAAGTAAGTCAAGAATGCCACTAGCACACAGGGTGTTAGAGACAGTGAAAGTGAGAGAAAAAAGTGGGTATAAGGGGTTGGGGATTGAGGAAAGGGAAAAAATGACAGGGATCAAGGCAACAGAAGATGGCGATTGACATTGCATTTAAATTTTTGAAGATTATAGTCATCAGGGAAGCAAGTGAGAAAAAAGTAGTTCCAATGTCGGGAAGCATGAGGAAAGCAACTGTCTGAGTAGAAGTGGTTACATTTAACTATTTCAACAGTAAATTGGTGGGACCGAGATGTCACTCTAGTAGCCTGCTTAAATTTATGTAGTCGAAGAACCAAGGAAAAAAGCTTGGCCATGAAAATATTTGTAGAGAAGACAGAGAGCAGCCACATAATGTCTGTGAGAGAATGTCTGAAGTTGAGAAGTCAATAAAAAAATTTGTTAAAACTAAACACTCCTAATGCTGTTTAATAGTAAATACACGAAACATTCTTTGTTTGATCCAAAACAGTGCAAGAGATTGAATTTAAAATAATTACCCAAACTCTGTTTATACATATTGATCCTTCATGACTGTAGAGTACCACTTACAAGGGGTATTCAAGAATTTTTGAGACATTTTTTAGGAGAGGCAGTTTTAAGATTATTGTAATTTTAGTATATCATTGCTATACATCTAAAAAGCTGACCTACCAACGTTTGTTATTCCAGATTGAAGGAGTCGGCTGTAACAGCTCTTTGAACACACCCTAC